CACTGGGGTTCCCCTTTTCCCCTAGCATGTCTTTCACCCCAAGTTCCGGGATTGGGGAGAGAGGACGGAGATACGGTGTTTTTCGACTTCCGGCAACCCAAGGCTTGAAAAGGTGACCAGCTCCCACAGCGACCAGGCAGTGAGTGTTTGCCGACGACCCAAGCCCAAGACCGGCTCTGCGTTTACCGACCAAATAAAACCCGCGTGAAGCTGACGGCGGGTCAGACAGGGGCAGCTGCTTCCATTAGAAAAACAAGTTCCGTTGAAAATAAAACCCCCTCGTCCAGTCCCTGGACCAGTCCCCGCCAAGTGCACGATTTTTATCCAATTATAGGAATAAAAACCTCCCTGAGCTCAGACCCCCGTGGGGTCTCATGGCTCCCAGATTCCTCCAGCGACCTGGCCTCCCATCGTCCCTGACACGTGTTTTCACAAAGGTCCTGCGTGTCCAGGCCCACCTGGCGGCTCGCTCCCGAAGGACCGCACTCACTCACCCACCAGATCCCCGACCGCGGTGACTTGTGGATGAGACGCAGCTTCTGCGCCAACAGTGAGCTTCCCCCGCTTCCCACGCGGCTCCGGGCCCGTGGCTTGCGCTCCCGAGACGCACAGCCTGGCCCGTCACTGCCCTTGTTGCCGCCCATGTGGGCGACAGCGGGAGCTGCCAGCCCCTGGCTGGAGGCAGGGAGTCCCGTCTCGCCGGCTCCGCAGTCGGAGCTCCATGCATATGGTTCCCAGGAAGCTGAACAGCATCCCCGAAGCCACCGGGGGACCAGCACGAGGAGGGGCCGTGGTCTCTCCTCCCCCCCTGCTTCCCGCCCGCAAACACCAATGACACAGGGTCCATGGGAGACACCACACGCTTCCCCTTCAACCACCCCCCCCCCCCGACGGCGGTGGAGGCGCAGCTTCCTCTCCCTAAACGCAAAGCCTGCACAAACAACACGGCACCTGCAGCTCATCGCAGACAGCGTTTATTTCAATGCTGCGTCCACACAGGACGGTGACTGGACAGCGTCAGGAGGAGAGGGAGAGCCTCAGGAGCGGCCGAGCTCCGGCTCCCAGGCCGGCAGAGAAGGTCCCGGGGGCTGGGCCCCAGGAAGCGGGGTTCAGGAGGCTGCGAGGCGGGTCCAGCCGAGGCCGGACGTCCTGGGGTGCTCCTCAGGTGCAGGCGTCCCCGGGGGTCAGAGGCTGTCAGTAAGTCTGTCCATAGCAGCCCGAGCCGCAGGCCGGCTGGAAAGAGGGGCCCTGGTAGGTCCTGGACGAGGAGAAGTAGGTGGGACGGCAGTAGCCGGCCCCACAGCCCGGGGACTGGGCTTGGGAGCCTCCGTAACCGAAAGGCCCGAGGCCGGTGCTGCCGCAGCCCAGGGAGCCCGGGCAGGTGGCCTGGTAGGACCGGCGGAGCGAGGAGGACCTGCGGCCATAGGAGGGCGCCTGGTAGCCGGCGGGCTCCCAGCAGGTCTCCTGGCAGCCGTGGGACGGGGAGTCCTGCTGGCAGGTGCCCTGGGTGTAGGCCACGTTGCCGGAGTAGATGTTGCCAGAGCAGGTGTTGCCGGGGTAGAAGTTGCCGGAGCAGGTGTTGCCGGGGTAGAAGTTGCCGGAGCAGGTGTTGCCGGGGTAGACGTTGCCGGAGCAGGTGTTGCCGGGGTAGAAAGAGCCGCAGGAGGAGGCCGGGTACCGCAGGCGGCCGCCCAGGGAGCGGGAGGAGAGGGTCCGGGAGCTGAGGCTGTAGGACATGCTGTCGGGTTCTGTTCTGGTTCTGGTTCTGGGTTGAGAGGAGGTGCAGGGAGGACCTGTGACTGTGGCGATGGCTCCTGCGCCGGCACTTTTATACCCGGGCTGGGGTCCGGCAGGGCCTCTCCTCACAAGATGCTCAATTAGGCTCCAGCCGAGAGCCATGCGCTCACCTTCAAAGGCCTCTTTATGGAGGCGGCCGGTAATGAGGGGGCGCGAGGCTTTCAAAGCAGCTGTTCGCGAGGCACACACGTCTCCCCATTCATCTCGCTTGGGCGGGGGGAGGTAATTGCGCCGTAATTGTACCCGCAGCCCTGGCTTTGTTCCTCCCTCTGTGAATGGGCGGCGGCGCATGGGCACCGTGGTGATCACTGTGAGCTCAAGGCTCTGAAAATGCTTGGGAGTCTGGAGGGGCGTTTAACTTGTTCCGGTTTAGGAACCCCAACCGAGAACAGGAAAAATTCACCCTCAATGTCTGTTTCAACTCCCCAGTCGGGGCCCCTGGTAGAGAAACGACCCGGCACAGCCCTGGTGGGGAGATGCTACGTGAGCGTCTGACACGTTCGGTTTTGAGTTTTCTTACGGCCCAAGTGCCCCCGCCACTCCTGTGTATGTGGATTTATTTTTAATATTTTAATTATTATTATTATTGGCAGGTACAGTTCACATTCAATATATTCTGTATTCGTCTCAGATGTAGAGCAGAGTGAATATCCAATCGTAGACTATGCAGAGTGACCCCCGGATATTTCCCGCACCCCCGGGCACCACACACAGTTCTTCATTATTATTTACTGGAGACCCCGGTGCACGAAATTCGTGCGTGGATAGGGTCCCTGGGCCTGGCCGGCGATCAGGGCCGATCTGTGGGGTGACTGGCGGGGCGATCAGGGGGCCCCCACTAGCACCTGCCTTGGCCGGCCTGGGGCCTGTGGGCTGGGGGCAGCTCCTGTGTACAGCGTCTGCCCCCTGGTGGTCAGTGCGCATCATAGCGAGTGGTCATTCCACCGGTCGTTCCACCGTTGGGTCGATTTGCATATTAGGCTTTTATTATATAGGGTGAGAGTCCCTGTGCTGTACTGTACGCCCCATGGCTGTTTTGCAGCCACCAATCTGCACTTCTCAGTCCCTTCACCCAGTCCCCCCGCCCCCTTCCCGTCTGGCCACCACCCGGCTGTTCTCTGTGTCTGTGAGTCTGTTTCGGTTCTGCTTGTTCATTTATTTTTCTCTTTAGATTCCAAGAGAAATATAAGTGGAATCATATGGACCTTGTCTTTCTCTGACCGGCTTATTTCACCCAGCGTAGTGCCCTCTGGGGTCATCTGTCACAAATGGTAAGATTTCGTTTTTCATGGTCGAGTAATACTCCACATCTGTACACATGCACCCCAGCCGTGTGATTGATTGTTTATTGATGGGCACTGGGTGGCTCCCATGCCTTGGCTGTTGTAAGCGATGCTGCAGTGAACGTAGGGTGCGTATATCTTTTGGGATTAGGGTTTCAGATTTCTTCAGCCGTAGACCCAGAACCCAGAACCGGGATTGCTCGGTCATAAGCTAGTTCTAGTTGTCATTTTTGATTTGAGACTAAAGGAGGGCTTTTAAAAATTTCATTGTAAAAATACTCAAGTGAAGGGATAATTGCTCTGAAGTCGACTTGCCTCCTGATAG